AATATAGGATGGTTGGGAGTGGTAGGTTGGTGGGAAGGGGGGGAAGGGGGAAAAAAAAAAAAATAAAAAATCCCAGCTTTATGATTTCGTGGTAAAGTTAAGCTGCAGAAGGTGCAGGGACCATAAGGGTCCCGTCACAAACATTTCAAAACAGCGACAAAAAGGCGTAAAAGACATCACTGGATATTGTTTTATGTGAAAACCCCTTTCTGGAATGCAATTAAATCTATAACGAAAAGCCCTCTAATTTGCTCTAGGAAGTGCTTGCGTTATTTTACAGTTTAAGCAGATGTAAACACCTTTTTCTTTCTTTTTTTCAGGGAATCAAGACAAGAGGGAAACAAACCACCACAATTTCACACAACTGTATCGGCGTGCTTAGAGGAAACACTGGGGTTTTTTCCACCCGAGAACAATGTAAGCTGGATGAAAAGGGGCAAAAGTGTGTGGTTTTGGTCTCCAGGAAAAACTAAGCCAAGAAATTAAATTAATTGGAGGGGGAGAAATACCCAAGACTGTGCATGGTGTTCTTACTTCGACCTTGAATCGTGTGAAGTAGCGTGAGGAAGAAACTTGAGCTTTTCGTAACGCACCTGATCGACAAAGGAAAAGAAAGGGAGAAGGAAAATCGAGGACGCTAACGAGATTTGTTACAAACTGGGTGCTTGCACTGTACTTCAATTTCTCTAATTATCCGACATGAGGCTGTACATGGGGATGGGGGGGAAAAATGTGTGATGACATTTGGGAAACGGTGCTTTCTTTGCCACCTTTTTTTTTTTTTTTTTTTTCTTTTCTTTTTGACACACTTTTGGAGTTGTTTAACAAAACTTTTTAACATCTTTTTCTGCTTTACGGGCAGACCCGCACCCCGGGGCAGCCGGTTTACAGTCAACGTAATGGAATGAGGATGGAGTTTGCAGACAAAGCAATGGATCCGCATCCTACGTCTAGATGGCATCAAGGGTCAGAGTGGTATGAGTTTTACCGAGGCATCTCAGTGCTACTTCAACTGGAAACGTCACAACAGACATATTTGGGAGTAAATTGTGTGCTTTTGTGACTTTTTTTTTTTTTTTTTTTTTTTGTCTTTTAAACATTCACATCGGCGGGGTGCACAACTCTATCGGGCATTACAAAGGGGGAGAATTCTGCTTGGTTTGTACACAGACGGGATCAACTCACTGCTTACACGAAACGTACCCTGCAGACGATCTCAGGACTGATTTGGTGGCGGGGAGGGAGAGGAGGAGGGGGGGAGAAAGGCAGGAAAAGGTAAAATTTAATTATTCAATAAAAGAGCTTACTTACCAACCCAACCCCGCATCACATGGAAAACAAAACCTCCTCAGAGACAAAGGCACGCTAACGCGTACAAGCGGCTCTCTGCGCTGCACACCTGCCCTCCAGGGGAGTGGAAAGGCAGCAAACCTCCCTCCCTTCTTTTTTTTAATCTTTTTTTTCCAGACATACATGCTGAAGCTGTTTATTTTTGCCGATGCTTTCTGGCTATATGGTTTCAACTAAGAAAATAAAATTAAAAAAAAAAAAAAAAAAAAAACCAACAGCAATGCATTTATGTTGTATCTCTTCGTGCCTGGATTAATACACTAAGGTACGCACAATGGCACAAAGAGAAATGACTCTTTTGGCAACAAGAGGAGGCAAGAGATTCATCTGTTTATGGAAGTGGTCTCATTGTCTAACCTCAGAGTTGTGTGGGGCTATCTGGAGATATTAACTAGTAATTTCTGCAATGAACAGATAAATACTCCATGGTGTTCAAAAGTCTACTGCATCCTTTTATAATTGTCCAATTAGTTAATTAGTGGCACTGTTAAAGAAATGTCCTTTATTTCTAATCAGCATTTGTGAAGATTAAGTTTTCAGGTTCTGATTGTTATGCCTCTGCTGTATTAGACAGCCATCTGCTACCAGCAAAGTTTCTTTCTTTTCAACAGGTAGAGCTTTATAAGGCATCATAAATTTGCCCTTACCCTTCTTTGAAGAAACTGAGCACACTGAATTACCTTATTTCTTACCACATAGTGGACTATTCCATAATTCTGAATGAATCGTAATAGTTTTCTGGATTCTTTTCACATTTTTCCTGCATCTTTTTTGAAGTGGCTGAAAGAATGGGGACAATATTCCCGTAATGTTCTCAGTGGTGCTGTTTAGACGCAATTCACTTCCCTGTTTGAAATTCCTCTGCTTTTAAATTTACTATTCCTCACAGCCAAAGCACTGGACTGGGAGATTTGCAATGGTATATAATATGGGCATTAAGTGGGTTTTTAGGGTCAGCACAGTCCGGGCCAAGGGATTTGCATCTTGTGAGTCTAAAATTCTTTTTTTTTGTTGTTCTGAGATGTATTACATCATGTTTGGAAATATCAATAACATCTGATGTTCAAAGGAGACTCGTTTATCAAGCAACCTAGACTGTTTACCTGACCTGCCTCTACCATTAATTTAGGACTTTACCAACTTTGAATCACTAGTAAACTTTACTGCAAATGTTTTGTATTTTCTTCCAGAGCACTGTTAAAGGTATTGAATGACAATGAACAGAATACGGATCCTGGCAACACTATGCGAGAAACTCTCTTACTGAAGTTGTCCCCTCCATTACTTTGTATTATGCACTAGGAAGCTCCTCCCCAGGGTCTGGGCACTAGCCTCTAGAAACTGGGGAAGAGGCAAATGGATGGTGACTCTGTTCAAAATATTTCCCTGACGTTCGCCCGCCCCGCGCTCCACGGGCAGGCACACAAAATGGCGCCCGCCGGCACGCAGCCGCGCCGAGGCAGCGCCCCGCACGGAGGCCGGAAAAAGCCGAGCGGGGGAGGGTGTGCGTGTGTCGGAAATAGCCGAGCGTTGTCGGAAATAGCCGAGGGGTGACGGAGAAAGACGAGCGTTGTCGGAAATAGCCGAGCGGTGTCGGAAAAAGACGAGCGCTCCCCCTCCGCTCCCTCAGGGAAAGGTGACGGAGGTTGCCGAAGGTGAACGGGAGATGGCGGGAAAGCCCGAAAAGTGCCGAGGAGGTGAGGAGAGGATGAGTCCATCTGAGCGGGAGGGGGGGGGGTGGGCTGGGGAACTGAGCGCCCACGGGGTGGGCTCGAGCCCAGCGGCGCGGCCGCCCGGCCCCCCCCGGG